CAAGGCTATTTGTTCCTATTTGGCATCCCCGGGAAGCGCTTGCCCGGGACGGAACGGCTCAACATTCTCTGTACTTATTTGCATTTGAATCTGATAGAGTACGAGGAGGGATGTAGGAAAATTACTTCCCTTTGATTCCGAAGCAGCCATGGAATTGCCAACTCAAGCATTGTTATAATAGATACAATGGTCCTGAGCGCCCAGTGCCCGAAACAGAAGTTCGCGCCGTAAACGCCCGGGAACAAACATGGGCAAATAGCTCGCCGCGCGGATGCGACCTGCAGTGTTTTTTGCAAATCACTGTAATAGATGGGACTACTATACAGACACGGCCCGAGAGTCACACAAGCGGCGATGATTTATTGGATAGATTTGAAGACCACAGTGCTTAAGATCACATCGAGTACACGAGAAAGCATGAAATCATCAGGACAACGAGGGAAAGCACACAACAGGACAGCGTTACGGGTATTGGGGGAGAAAAATAACAGATTGTCCAATCGGAGCCGATAGCAGGGTATAGGAAGTGTGAAGATCGCGGAATTGGTGAAGAGCGTGGATGCTAAAGCAATGACTATGACGCCCCAGGCCAGACCAACGGGGCTGAGACCATGGTTAGCGCGCACAGGAGAAAGAAGCAAGGGAGTTTGATAAGGCGGGTACTTACAACCAGAGTGATCGAAGCCGAGAGGGGCGTGAAGTAACGCCCAACCCGGGTAGTATGCAGGGACAAAGGACGTTGTATACCAAGTCGTCGGCGACCAGTAAGTGATTGCGGGGCTTGCACTTGGGAGCAGACGCCGTTCATCGGCATTGAAGGCAGGCTTCGTTGGCTGAAGAGGCTTGCTCAGACCATTGTATTGGGACGTCCGCAAACCCTTGTTCATGTACGTCTTGGTCGGGGTCGGGGTATTGAGAATGCGCTCATGAGCTAAGCATTGGTCCAATTCCTGTGCGACAGTCGTGAGTGGCGGTGTATTGGACCGAAGATATTCTCTAGTGGCGCATACCAGGACATAACTCCACAGTTGCCTTGCAGCTCTCAATTGCTCATCAGCCCACTCTCTTGGAAAGCTGCATACACTGCAGTAGTCGGGCAGTCAGCCGACGGCGTTGTGATCACACTTGGCGAGCATGCACTAACTTCTCGTAGAGAGCTTCATATTCGTTGATCTCCTGGGAGAAGAGCTCGTCCCGTAGCAGGTCCATGATCTTCACAGCGCCGTCGATGTATCGACCTGCCCGGTGACGTTTTGCACTGTTGGTCTGCAAGTTCCCAAGCCAGTTGCAACCTTCGGATCGGCAAACTGAGTCCTTGATTTGTTGTACGGTTTGTATGATAAGTGCGTCGGAAGGCATTGTGGCAGCGGTTGTGGTCGAGCTCAGTGTAAGAGAAACGTGGTTATGTAGGCTTCATTGAGCCACGACGAGGGTGCATTTATAACTAGAAATGTCGCGCAGCTCCATTTGGCATCCGTCTCGCCGACACATCCAGTCAAGGCAAGTTGGATATCCATTTGAGCGCTCAGGTAGAAGTACCACAGATCCTCAATGGAGCCTGGATGCCATCCACTCTACTGCTTCTGCACAAAGATCAATACCGGCTACGGAACATCGCAAGCTGAGACAATAGAGGAAAGTAGTACTGTCCTGTTTCGTATGTGACTCGCCGAACAAATGGCAGTGTTGTATGGCAGGGGTCGACTTACATGGCGGACGCATCAGCGCTCTCCTTGGCAAACGAGTTGCCATTTCGGGGCTTTCTGCTCTCTTACCGCAGCACGATAGAGCACGGTGCCAGAGCAGACTACGCAGACGGTCTCATAGCAAGGGCCGCCGAAGGCAACGTCGTGCCGTGCGCTGCGGAAACAGTCGACATGCCTTTCTGGTTCACTGCGTCGACTCTTGAATAGGCCATTCAGGTGTTCATTCCTGAGCCAATTCTCATGTTCCTTTGGCTCCTGTGTGAGCAGAAAACCTTGGCTGGGCTCAAGCCTACTATACCTTTTGCCCACGCTCCTTCCAAAGGAGGGTTCCCGGCTAAATTACTTACCGTTCCTAATCCAATCCAGTCTAGGTGGGGGTGACACCTTCCAATCTCTCTAGCACTCTCCGGGGTAAACGTTGAATTTCACAGACGCTCGATCCACTTGCCTCAATGGGATCCATCAACACGAGTACTCTTGAAGACGCTCGAAGTCGGCAGCCTCTTCACCATCACCTGCGCTCACAGCCTACGCAGCGATGGCAGCTGGAATGGCAGAGCCACCTATCGGCGATCTATATTCACATGTTATCGTTTGTGTCCATTGAGGTCATTCAAGATTCTCAATGCGTCTCCCCTCGGGGAACTGACGCGCGGAACGCCGTCGTCTACATCGTCACGTAAGTTTTGCGGAATCAGGCGTGTTCAATTCTTGTCGCTCGCTCATTTCCTCGCGCGCCTACTGGGCGCCTGCTGACCTGGATTCAAGGTCAGATCAAGCGCCTGTAGCACAGCGAGCAGAGGTGCGCAGGCAGCGGGTGCAGCGAGATCGACGTTTCCGTCCTATGCTAGATTTGTTATACCCAGAAAATCTGTCCAGAAAGTGGATGGAGACGTCGGCAGATCGTTATAGACTTGTTGACCGAGAATAATTGTACACAATGCGCCCAAATCGGAACCAGATCCGGCACGACACGGTTCACTGGCCACCTGGGGTTGCCACTGTAAGCCTTGCGGGACGACTCCGCGTCTCGAGTCATGGAGCTCTCTATCTTTCGAATTGTTAAGCTTTCGCGTCGCTCCTCAGTCCCAGCTCGCGACCCTGATGCGGTCGTGTTGCACCCGCTGCCTGCACACCTCTGCTCGCT